GATATCAAAGGATCACAATGATTATCTTCAATTAATTTCTCCCCCTGAAGAGAATCATGGGAATAAAATGATTGATCTTCCAGGAATGTAACATCATAGGATAYATAGAWTTTTTTTGTGACAGGATTGTAACATTTATATCCTTTTTTAGTGGGAGAGTATCCTATGAAGATACATTTGATGGCCTTTGGATCAAATTTTCCCCAAGTAGGACTGGTGTTATGAACAAACACAGAACACCTGAATATTTTTGGTGGGAGAGAGTTGAGTAAACGAATACAAGGGAATTCTTTTTGGAGACAACTGACTGGTGTACGAAATTTGAGGGGTTTTGATGGAAGTCTATTGATTAAATAGGCAGCAGTTAATACAAATTCTCCCCAAAAATGATGTGGAACAACACTAGCAAACATGAGTGATCGAGCTACCTCCAACAAATGACGATTTTTTCGTTCTGCAACCCCATTTTGTTGTGGGGTAGATGTACATGAGCTTTGATGAAATATGCCATTCTAAATGAGGTAATCTCCAAGAATCTGTGCAAAGTACTCCATTATTTGTGTAGAGTATGTGAATGTTGCATTGGAACACATTCTTTATCATTTTATGGAACTGTTGAAACACATWCCYGRCATCAGATTTGTTCTTCAAGAGATAGACCCAGCAAGCACGAGTATGGTCATCTATGAAGGTGATGAACCATCTCTTGCATGTTAAATCCACAACCCGTGATGCTCCCCAAATATCACTGTAAACAAGATGGAACGGTTTGGAAGGTTTGTAATTGTGAATAGGATAATTTTTTTTGGACTATTTCGCAAGAATACATGACTCACAATGGAAAGAAGAAGGATCTTTATTGAGAAATAAGTTTGGATACAAATGTTTCAAATATTGAAAACYAGGATGTCCTAAGCGTTTGTGCCATAGAATTACATCTGAATTCAACGAACTAGACGCAAAAAGAGATAGATGTGGTTTTGGCCTTRGAGAAGAATCAGTGAGATAGTAGAGACCATGTCGTTCTTCAGCATTGCCAATCATCTTCCTCGAAGACGGATCCTGAAAAATACAACGATCACAAAGAAATGTTACTTTACAATTTTGATCCTTAGTTAACTTACTAACAAAAAGGAGATTATATCTTAAACTCGGAACATGTAGAACAAATTTCAAATAAAGTCCTTGGTAAAAAACATCTCCAACTCCAGTCACAATTATTGTATTCCCATTTGCCACTGAGACTTTTATCTCACCATCACATTTTTTATAATTCAAAAAAGTTGTATGATGTCCTGTCATATGATCTGATGCACCGGTGTCAACAATCCAGTCATTGGGATCATCTTTTCATGATAATAGAGATGATGATATTACCTCGTTGTGCAATTGCTGCTGTAGGTGTAGAACTTGATGCCTCAGAAATCTGTTGTTGGTGAAGAAGAGACCTTAAAATCTCCATTTGTTTCGGTGTGAAAGCTGATGTGTTAGGTTTCTTTGTCTCAGTAGATTCGGCTACATGAGCTGAAGGGTTGCCTTTCCTCTGATTCCGTGGTTTCCAATCTGGAGGTTTTCCATGAATGTCCTAGCAAGTCTCCTTTGTGTGATACGACTTTTTGCAGTGTTCACACCACTGGTGGTTTTTTTTTCTTCTGAGGTTGAGACCGAGTAGATGCAAGTGCAAATCCTTGAGATTGTTCCTCTAGGATTCCGTGTGAGGATGGGTTCAGCATGATTTTCCTCCTGCTTTCTTCTCATCGAACCTCAAAGAACACCTCATGAAGTGAAGGGGTTTGATTCCAAGAATACAACCTCGTACTTCATCCAGGTCTTTATTAAGTCCTTGAAGAAAATCAAATACTCGATCTTTCTCAAGGACTTGATTGTACAATACTCCATCATCAGTACACTTCCATGGAATTGTATAAAACAAATCCATTTCTTGCCATAGATCAATCAGCCTGTTGTAGTACTCTGCTACTGACATTGATCCCTTCTTTATGTTCCGTAGGAGAGAATGAATTTCAAAACACTGAGACGTGTTTCCAAGATCCGAGTACATCTCTTGAACAACCTTCCATATTTCGTGAGCATTCTTGTAAAACATATACGTGCATCCTATTTGCGGCTCCATGGAATTGATTAACCACACCATGACAATGGAATTTTCAGCTTCCCATGTCTTGTAACTCGCATCACTGCTCGCTGGAGGAGGGATTTCACTAGTAAGGTAACCCACTTTTCCTTTTCCTCGAATCACTAACAAAACGGATTGAAACCATTCACAAAAATTGGACCCATTTAATTTGTGTTGGGTAATYTGCARAGAATGGCTTATGTCAGAGGTGGTGAAGGAGGTTCCAAGGGATCTCGATGCATTCATGGTTGAATCAATTGCTGTCGAGTCCACTGTTGATAAAGAATTGCTCGTTCCAGACATCGTTGCAGGCTCTGATACCATGAAAACAGAAACAAATATTTGAAGATTTTTGTTCTAATTTCATTGAGAAGATTTGTACAAATATATACAACTTCTAAGAATCAATCTAGGAGCTATTCTTGGAAACTAACCCACTAATTTAGCCTAAAGTAAAAAAGGAAGCTAAATCATAGCCTAAAAATGGAAAATAATCACAACCTAAATAAGAAAATAAATAACTAAAAAAACAGGAAAGATTCTGACTCGGATTCCACAAGGAATAATCCTCGTCATCCCTTTCCAACAATGTGCCCCCCCACTTCAAGTGGTTAAAGGAGGGAAAATAAATCCTTCTCCCTAGGGTGACATGTGTCCCCCCACTTAAAATGGTTAGAGGAGGGAAAACAATCCTCTTGTTAGAATAGGACAAGTGGCATCCCCTCATAAATAAGTGCGACACCTCACAATTAATTAATCAAAATGGATTTAGGGCCTGCTGTTCCACTAAATGGGCTCTACTGCAGGCCCATTAAATGCTTATTGTATTACAAATAAGCCCAAATAACTTGGGGTCTGTTATTCACTAAACTAGACTGTAGGCCCCTTTCTTTATTAAGAAAGCCCTTTTTTCTTCTTTATTGTTATTATTTTTTAAGCTGTGACTGGGAGTATCTTAATAACCTGCTCCCAGTCCAGCAAATTTAAGGACTTAACACATGGTCAAGTTAGAAGAACATCTCTTGATAAACTGGACTTTATTGGAAAGATGTATTGGGGATTATATATTAAATCATAAATTAGAAATGCTGAAATGGATAAAAAAGAGCCCATCATTAACTCAGTTTTATCCATGAAAGATTGCAAAAGAAAAAGGATAAATCAAAGGGCCTTGACACAAGGATCAACTATATGCATGAGTCAACATTTTGAAACAGTTGGCATAATTTATTTTCATAGATAGATAGCAAAATGGGCACACATTACAGTTAACTAATACTTTCAATAAATGAAAAAAAAATAATCTCAAATATCACTATTTTCAAATCACATGAATGCAGGCACAAGGTAAATGGGCATCACATTTTACTGGAAATTTGGAAAGATCATCTGTATGTAAAAGAGAAAAAGAAGAATTAAAAGAAAGGAAACAATATTCTTCAGTTTATTCAGTTTTCTGAGGTTGCGAAGTCAGATTTTGTTTAAATTGTATCCATATGGAACTCAAGAAAGTGAGAAACTCATTCCAGTTAATTTGGTCATCAACCATTTCTCATCAGAAAGGATACCCTCTTTTATAAATGGTAAATTTCATCAAAAGAGAGGGAGAGCTTGCCTCAACAATAAAAGCAGAATACATGAAATCTCTTTAAATTTTGAACAATTGCAGGTAAACAAAGAAATGAAGAGACATCAGAAATAACAGAAAGTGCTACTTACATCATCAATACTTGAGTTTCTAAGTATCTGCAGTTAATAAAAGTCACAAAGTTATGCCATAGAAAAATTTAGCCAAAGAATGAGAACATAATTAAGGGATCACAAACTTGAAAGTGATAAATAATTTACCAGAAATCTATTAAATGGGCAACATGGAAAAGGAAAAAAGTCAGAGAACCTCACATGGTTGTTGCTGTGGCTCTGCTTGGAGCTCACTGTGAGTGATGACTCATCTTCAGAGTTCCCATGACCCGCAGGAGAGGTATATACTACCCTAAGCTTGAATTCCTCTATTGTCTTTTCACCATCTTTATTGAACTGGGCATAATAATAATCATCATAATTTCTAGTTTTGAAGAATCAAACTTAAAAGTAAAGATTTCATCCATCTATTCAAGAGAATTGTTGTCCAAGTAAGCAATCTTACAGCATCTTGAGGGATCTCATCAACATCAGTATTTGGAGGCACTATTGTACTCTGTAGGAGAAATTTGTCCTTGCATTGCATATCTGGAGGATATTCTCGTTGTGCTTGCAAGGTGACTAGAGGTGCCAATGAAAAAGAAGGTTATTATGAAATTGATATTATGAGAAGAAATATTAAGGAACAATATTGGATAAGTAGAGAATAGAAAGAATGTGACAAATAGAGAGTAGTACCTGTTATGACACATGAATCCCAAGGTTGAACAACACCAGTATTTGGCCGCACAAAGTACTTCTTGGGTGAAGTGGTTTTAACCTAAACAACACAAAAGGGAAGAAAAGAGACAGAAAAGAAATCAATTCTACATTACTGTGCTCTCCAAATAATTTAGTAGTTTGCTTTATACATGTGCATAATCTTGCTGAAGTACCTTGAAGGCAACATGGTGCTCACTGTTGTTCGCTACCTTGAGATCACAATAGCTTTGTTTTTCCAGCTCAACTGCTCATGTGAATGTCACAAGTTATCAGTCTAGAAACCCTCCCTAGAAAAAGTCTCAATAGAACTAAAGAACAAAAAAAGAACAGGCTCAGAGTGGGATGCTTCATCTGAAACCACCCTAAGACATTGTTCTCCCAGATTGGAAAAGATCTGCCTATTGCCAACATATTTTCACCAACTACTTTACACAACACTTACCCCTATACGATGCAAATAGGCCCTAATATTCAGTCCAGGACAAGCATGTAATGTAAGCACACCCTTTGAAATTATATACATCTTTATCTTAGTTATCCTTTCTGTTATTGCCACAAGACACACATCACAACAGCCAGATGGAACCATGCAGTGTAGGATGCACCATGCAGATTCCACATGGATGGTGGATTGCCTACTGATTACCTAAGTGATCCCCTAGAATTATTAAAAACATAGGCATGATTTTGTAGTCATCACTTACATGATATGGCATTAAGACATAAAAAAGAAATTTTGACCATCAAATAAATAACTGAGCATCATGTTTATATCTAGGTGATTGGAGATATGATCGTTACCTAATCAGCCACAGAAGAACATCCTGTAATTGTAATTGTAATCTTTTACAGTTGCATCATATCTGTCGTCATGCAAATCACTTCTAAGGCGAACACATATTTAGTACACTAAGGTTTATGTTCTTTCTTTAGTATAAGTGATGTGACGTAACATACTAAGTAGAACATAATAAGTAAATACAATGCAATCCCTAACAGAACACAACGTTTGACATTGCTAATATTGCAAAAGATGCATGTTTATCAATCCCCCCCAAGAGAAGAGATAAAGATAAGAAAAGGAGGGAAAGGAAAAAGAAGAATATACACCTACATCTCCTCCCATTTCATGCAACCATATGAAATCAAGAAACCAACTAATTCATTCATTTCCAAAAAAAAAAAAAAAAAAACACAATAACGGTTCCTATGACAAAGGAACAAAAAAAATGATATTAGAGTCTCGAATGGATGATGCCATGCAGATGCAGCACGAAGTTTTGATTGACATTTTTTCTCATGTTTTTCTATGTACATACAATAAATTATTAAAGCTTATGTTGTTATGCTCTTGAGATTTGTTAGTTAATCAAATATATACCCTGTCGTAACAATTGAAAAGAAAACGTTGGATACTACTTCCCACCAGTATTTCTAGTTCTATAGAATTTTGGCAAAAATACCTTGACGTCCCTGTTAATGGAATCCAACCCGTCTAGCTTACAAATACTCATTATGACCGATAAGTGCTTGACAACACAGAACCACGTACATATCAAGTTTCCAATCTACTGTCTTTGATCAATAAGCATTCTACCTACTGTTGTCCATGAATTGTGTCGTGATCCATATAAATGTTGCAAAAACAAGAAACAGAAACAACAATAACAATGGAGACAAATATTGCTTACATTGGAACCTGAGCTCTTCAGGATGAACAGAGATCAACTGGCTACTACCACCCATGATTGCCACCGGACGGATCTCGAATCTTAATCAAATTTCAAAACAACCAATAAAATCTGTCATAGGAGAATACCGAAATCTTAAACCGCTAATTTCAGCCGGAGGTCAAGATAGAGAATAAAATGGTCAGAGACGAAAACATCAAACAAAAAACGAGAGAGAGAGAGAGAGAGAGAAACAAACAGAAACATAATGCAAATTCAGGGTAGAAGCAAAAGAAAAAGATGCCGTTAACAAGTGCTCGAAGTGACGGCGATAATGACGGATCGCCCGGTCCAAATCAAGTTCAACGGCTTCGCCACGAAAATCGGTTTCGGTGTCTATTCCATCAGAGAGAGTTGGCGAGAACCTGAGGATCGAAAGAGTCTAGGGTTTCTTTAACAAAAGGAGCTTAGAAAAGGCAAACTAGAGGGAAAGAAGGGGATGAAAACGTGGTTATCGTGCGCACCCTGGTTGTTCATTCATTGTTTGCTGGCTTGAAGCACGAAATGATGAGAGACAGAGACGAGGCATCTTCGATAGGAGAGAGTTTGAACTTRGAAGAGAATTGGAACTGGACACGTGTCGACCAGCAAAGCTTTTGACACCCGATTCTATAGGGACTGGTATTAAGTACCAGCCTGGAGGAGGGACCCATCCACGTCTGCCTCGAAAATGCAGGTTGTCTCGAGCTCACATTGTCTGCATCCACGTTGCAGAAAAATTTTCTGCAACTCTCCCTTATTTAGGGTTCGACCATGTTAAAAAATGTATGATATCTGAAAAACTTCTGACCATTAAAGTAGAATCATAAATGTGATAGTCAATGGTGTTATTTATCCTATTTCATGGGTGAGTTTTGATTGGTTAAAACTCTTTTCATATTCCACGTTAACGACGGGAATCTGTATTCCAAAAAATTTGAAGTTATTTTTATTCTGGCTTGCGGACTTGCCTCCCCGCTTCTCTCAGAGTAGTTAGTTCTCTGTCCCTTTCTCCTTCGTTCTTCTGCTTCAACCCAATATTTCGTTCTCTTTTTTCCGTTCTCTCTCTCTCTCTCTCCTTCTTTATTCTTTTCTCCTTGCTTCTCTCTCCCTCCAGCAAAGCCCTTCTTCATTCTCCGTCAAATGTGATCATCACCGCCCTCCCTCGACTAACAGACATGAATTGAAAAAATCAGGAAAATCTGTTGATGGAGGTGATGTTTCTAATTTGATATGTATATTTTTGTACAGAAGAGGAATGATGAATTCAGGGAACTATACAAAGTTGTTAGAGAATTGGACCCTTAATGGGGAACGAGGAACTTGGGAAAAAGTTTAATTGACTCCTCAAGTAATAAATAAATCGGCGACAATTAAACAAAGAGGGTCTTTGTACCTAACTACAGGTTATGCAAAAGATACTGAGGATGATGTTTCTACTTTTTTGGCCGATTTAGAATTTCTTCAGTGAAACCAGAAGATACGGAGGAGGGGGAGAGATAGTGAAGAAAGACGAACACAAAAGGACAGTTAATGTGAATGTTGTACAATTTAAGAGAGAACATTGAGTCATCATTGGTGATGGTATCATTTTGGTTTTTGGGTGGTGATAATGGTGGTTGAAGGAGAACGAAGGAGGGGGGAGAGAGAGAGAAGCAGGGGAGAGAATAATAAAGAAGGGAGAGTGAGAAATGTTGCTGGTCCTTAGATTGCCGCCGGTTACAGTAGCAATAGTTTGGACAACGGAGTATTTGGGTTGAAAGAGAACGGAGGAGGGGGAGAGAGAGTGAAGTGGGGGGAGAAGGCAGGACTAAAAGAATTTTAATTTTTTTTTTTTGGGAATCCAGACCCCGTGGTCTTGGCTTTATTAAGTTGTCATTAAATAAGGGAGACTGTTGTGGCCTTTTCTCATTACGTTGCAAAAAATTTTCTGCAACATTGATGCAGACGATGTGAGCTCGGTTGTCTCTACTCGGCAGTTAAATCTTCGAGCACGGGAGGAGTTCAGATCAGCGTGGGGCGCCTTATAACACTCCACGGCACATCCCATTTGTGTATTGGTAACATCTCCCGAATTGACAAATTTAAAATATTTTCTTTTTCACAAGTGCCCTATTTTCTTTTTTTCTTTCTGACCTTATCTTATGGTAAATTATAAATTAGAGAATATATGTACTTTGGGACAGGGAATATATGTACTTTCGGATAGTGGCCATTATCCCCTGAATTTTCATTTGAAACAAAAATTCCCTTTCTAAATTCTATCAATTAATTTTGAAAAAGATTCTCATATAATTAATTATTATTTTTTAAATTCTAAATAACTCTATTATCCCATGGTTTTCTAAAACAAGTGGTGGGATTTATTTTAGTGGTTTTTTTAATTTCTGTGGTTATTGGCTTAGTTGATATTAATTGCATGTTGCCTTTTTTTTTTTTGCATTTTCAAGTTTTCATAAAAATTTCTTAATGTTTTTGTTGCAATTTCTATTTTATAAGCGTTTTAATGGGTATTTTAGTAAATTAATTTATTCTGTCATTCAACTTAACGCAATAGAGAGAGAGAGGTCTTTGTTGCAAATAATAGTTTAGGTACGATTATTGTCACTACTATGAATCCTACAGGGAAGGTTGTAATATATAATTTACCCATATGTGAGGATAAGGATGGAAAAATTTTTATCCTCATGGGTAGGGATAGTATAGGGATGGGGAGAGCAGGAGCATTCCCCGCCTCGTGAGGATCTCCGCATGTATGTATCTATATTACTATTTTAAAAAATATGGTTGAATATATTTGTATCTTTTTTAATAGGATTATAAATTTTAATTTTTAATTTTTTTAAATAAAATAAAAAATAAAAACAAAATGGTTGATATTATAAAAACATCACGGGAGTAGGGATCTCTAGGGGATGGGGATCCTTGTAGAGATGAAGAAGGGGATAACCTTGTCCCTGCTAGTAGGGATGGGGAGTGCCTCTTTGTTCCCATTCTACCCTGCCCCATTGCCATTCCTATACAGAATTATGTCTAACAAATCATCAAAAAACTCTTTTTTTTTGAAGGCATCAAAAAGTTTCTTTCACCCTTATGATTCATGTTACTTTCAAAATAGTGAAATCTCTATTGAAAAAAATAGTGGCACATAAACTTTTTAATTCCATGAAAAATATTTTCCAAATGTCTTCTTAATCTTTTTCAGCCTATATTTTTTATGGAATTTCTTTCTATTTATGGTCTTAAACTTGAAAGAGATTTAAAAGATAAAACAAACTTTATTTTATTTACTCAAAAATGTTGCCATTCCCAGATAGATCATCATTGTCCACACAATTCACACCTAGGGTTGTCAATTGACCAGTTTTGGATTGGATCCTATCCAAACCAAAATCAATTTGGATGGATTGGACAGACCAACAAGACATATTGAATTGGACCATTCCAGACTTAATGATCCAAAGTATTTATTGGATTGGATTGGACTTGGTCCATCCATAATGAATTTATATTGGATTGATCCAATATCTGGTCCATTGATAGAAGATAAGAATATACGTGTCGATGGACCAGGTTTGAGTTAGAACTAATCTCAATTAAAAACAAATTTGAACAGATTGGGTGGTCCAAACATTGAATTGGACTAGTTCAAAATAGTCCATTTGTAATGGACTCGTTGGATTGGATCGGATTGGACCAAATTTAGTCGAATTAACACTCCTATTCACACCTTGGTTAGCATGGCTTCAACATCCCATCAAAAAATAATAGTAAGAAAGGATATGGATTCTTTTTAAATATTATTTTTGCTTGCTAAAAATATCATAAAGAGAAATTTGAGTTAAAACAAAGGGTTCTACTATGATACTAGAAAAATATGTTATCAAAATCGATGGGTATCATAAAAGTGATAACCAATTAAATAATATCTAGGGCAAATTTCTTAAACTACCCTTATGGTTTAGTTAAATGACTAACTCTACCCTTACTGTTTACATATTGTCTTTAAAGTACCCTTAAGTTTTTGTAACACTCTATTCGCATGTGATATCACATGATTGATATATCTTTAAAAATTCCTAAAATACCCTTGTGTCAAAAGCAAGAAAAACAACTTCTAAGTCCACTTCATTTCGTCTTCATCTCCATCTTGGTCTATGTCTCCGTCTCTATAAGAAAGCATAGATTCCAGAGAAGGTGGTCATCATCATGTATAAACGGTAAACCCACTTGATGCTGCGCAATCTAACTGCTCCTAGCTGGAGGTGATTTGGCTTCTAGTAGACGGCGGACGTGGAGAATCTGCACAGAAAGAATCAGAGAACCCGAGGGTGCTTACCCGGCGAGGTCGCTCGGATGCTTAAATTAGTATGTGCGAGCTGAGAGTAATTAAAGAGCAAGAGAGCTAGTAAGCAGTAATTGCACGTACCTTGGGCCCTTGAAGGGAGGCCTTTATATAATGGAGTCCTCGTGGGCTTCGCGGAGTAGTTCTGAGATTATTGCCATGATAGGATCTATTTTCGTGTTATCTAGAGATAACGTTATCAGTTGATAAGGTTAATTGCTTCCGCCCGAATCGGACGGGGAGATAATGCTTAGTTGTTACGAGGCGTGATCCCGCAAAATTTGGGAACCGTTGGAGTGACTTTCGGGATTGTATTGAGGGCAGATCGATATATCCAAACTGGTTTCTATCTCGAACTAATGTTCTTGAGCTAAGGGTTGTACACTAAACTAAATTATGTATTGATGTCGCGACCTGGTACCGAGGTGCCCTTAGCTCGAGATGATCTCAGCTCGAAGAACCTTAGTTCGGGGTGGTGGAGTATTACTTTGTAGAGAGCTGGCTATGCCGAGTTGTCACTTATGTCGAGTCACGTCCACATGTCCCCTTATTACGAGATCAGGCCAAATCACCCTACATCACCACTAGTTTCTGGATTAATTGTAATATCTTATTTCTTATGTCTCTTGTTGATTTAATCCCTCTTTGTTGATGGTTAATATAGAAGTGAAGTCTCAGATCAAGAGAGGTAAAAAGAGGGTACTGATACAACATAAAAACATGAAGACGTGGAAATTGAAAGTAAATAAAGCCCCCATAGAGAAGTGAAGTCTCAGTCCATCTTCATTGTCGTGGATTTTGGTTTCTTAAAGCCTAACATAAAGGCGCTGAAATTGGTAAGATTTCAAGACGAGAGAGGAGGACTCGAGTGGCACGAGCTTTCCTTTGAAGAAGAGATCATCAGAAGGGGAGAAGGAGAGATCCGAGTATGTTCGATCGCCGCTAGAGTGAAGTTAATGCCACTGGCACTTTTGTTTGCGAGGATCTCAGGATTGAAAATTGATTTCCTCTTTTCCCTTGTGTTGCCACCTAATCACCAAGGCTTCTACGTCTAAACTTTCCATCTCTGAAACTATTACTGTATACGTACCTAGAGGATACTATTTCACCTCGACCCCTACTTTGACTATGTCTCTGTCCCGGTGGCAATGGTGGCATGTTCGCATTACCCAGTAAGCAAATGGCAGTACCAAAAAACCAAGCACAACAAACCATATTAATTATTTAATATGGAAAAGTGAGCACTCTGGTTATTTAAAAGTGAGCACCAGCTCTTCCTCATGGCTTCTGCATTTTTTGGATACCAACGTACGTCCCAGCCCATACGGGAAGATATTGGTACCATTGATAGAGGGTGTTGCTCCATTCAGAAATTTCAGACAAGACCTAGGGTGGAAAGCTCGACAACAGATCATTTTCTTTGAGACCACCACCTGCTCCGGAAGCCATGCTTTCTTATAGAAGCGGAGATGGAAACAGAGTAGACTTAAAAGTAGGTTTTCTTGAAAATTTTCATCAAAAAATTTGTTTTGAAAATTTGATGAATAATAGAGGGCAAATTCGATATTATGGAAAATTTGATGAATATTTGTTAAGTATGTAAATAGTAAATAGTAAAGGTAGAATTTATCAATTAACTAAACCACAAGAGTAGTTTAAGAAATTTGCTCAGGCCTCAAAAATATTAATTGTATACATTAAAATTCACTTTGGTTTTGATAGTCAAAATTCTTTGATATCATGTCTTTTTCACAGTATGGATTTTTTTTTTCTTTAAAGAAATTTGCATTGAATTTTCAGGGATTGCTAATGGAGAATTCACATTGGTGATTATCGCCCCACATGCACATCTCAGCGTACATTAAGAACATCTCCAACTTATCTTGTACATCTCAGCGTGCATTGGGAACATCTCCAACTTATCATGGGGGAGATGTTTCCAATACACAGTTGGAATGGGCTGTGGGGCGCTCAATTTGCTAATGGAGGGATGTGTTTATCCGATTACATCACCCAACAAGGGAGATTTAAGTCTTTTATGAGATGTGAGGTTTTAATATTTGTCAAAATGTCAAGAGAGGTCTTTTACCCTTTATTTGTACAATTCATCCATCCTATTAGCCACGTGATCTCATCCGTCAATATTTTGCAAATAGAATCCCAGTATTAAGAGAATGTGCTTCCATATCAACACGGTTTGATGAGCCACAAAGTCATGAATGTGCTTCGTGCTTCCATATCTTCATTCTTGCTTTAATTTTTATTTATTTTGTTTTCTTCTATTACTGAATAAAATATTGTGAAGGGAGGGTTTTGCTTCTGAAAAGGTGATATGAGACATTTTACCAGTATTTTTGGAACAAAAGACCATTCCCAAACAGTTTCTAACGCAAGGTGCATGAAGTAAAGCGGTTGCAAAGTACTGGAAGTGTTTTGCTAGGTCTTAGCATTCACTTGAAACTAGGAGTATTTTAGTATATGACCCTCAAATCAAATTAGAAAATTTTTAATATTTGATGAAGTTAGGAATTTTTATTCAGCCATGGAAACTTTTAATTTCAACATGAAATTGTAATTCCAAAGATAAAAAGACCAATCAATATATGGGAAAATTTATTTTAAATATGTTTTATGACAAAACGTTTTGTATATCATGCATATTTGCAATAGATTTTACATATATTATATTTAAAACGCACTACATTCTTATTGTATTCTTAAAATAAAACTTATTGAATAACAATTCGCCCTTAGGAAGAGAAAGGAGTTTCCTCAACCTTAGAGAGGGGTTAAAGTTCAAGATAGACTCAATTTTATGTCTCCTGTGATGTTTTTTTTCTTATCATCCCACCCATTAGTTGCTCGCACTTCTTGGTGGCATCATTTAATCTGAATCTTATTGATGATAAGAAAATGTCTCATTGAACCCATTTTTAGTTTGATACAACATTTTCATATGACATGCCATTTCATCTAACAAGGTAAAAGGTATTTAGCAAAGTTATTGTACTGTTAATTATTGCAGGAATATTTCCTCCAAGACCAGGCATTTGCAACAAAGGACGAGATAAATCTGATACACGGTTGAGATGAAAGTGGGGAAGAGCTTCCAAATGTTGAGTTTCACTTGAAGGTTGAAAGTCTGGGGAGCTTGTCTCTTAGATAGTACAACCTTGCTCTTCTCACTTTCCTGTGGCTAACAACTTTTATCTCCTTGATGTTTGGTGAGTACCTGTAATTATAAAGACATGCCAGAATTTACAACTTCCTGAATCCTGATATCTAAATGTAGTTGAAAATTACGTAAGATGCATTCTCAACAAGGTAAGCAAACTACCATTATGGCACATTATTATATAGTATGCAATTTCAGCAAGGAAACAGTAGCCACAGTTAGATCTTCCTAGGTTCTTGTCAGTTTCATCCTTATTCACCCTTGAGTTTTTTTTGTCCCCTATTTTTTGGGTAAACACCTTTGAAGTTTGAATTGGAATTTTTGGCCAATTGAGATCAAATTAAGTATATGATTATAGTTCATGAAACAAGTCAATTATCTTGTGGGTCATCTTCCGTGTGGGGCTAAAAAAATGCCTAGCTCCTGAAAATGTGGCATTCATGTTACAGACATTGCATTACAAATAAATGAGTAATAATAAGTGGATAATGGAACCAGAAAGCCAGAAGAGAGAATAGATTGCAACAGATTAGGCATAAACAGAGAGCTTATGTAAAAGTTTTGGGAGAAGTGGAAATCCTTCGCTAAGCATCACTACTGAAAATCTACAAGCAGCATGGAATCATGTTTTTAGGTTTTATCTACCTAGTTGTTTTTGTGTTCCCTGCATGCAGGTTTTGTTTTCTACCTTCCCTATGGATTATGAAATTAAGATGAATGCCACAAGAGTTCTACAAACTAAAAAACATTTTTCCTACCGAGTGCCACAAAGTTAAATATGGTATATCATCGATTAAGTGTATTGCCTTGCCTTGATTTGTGTGACTAAGACAGGCACAAATCCTCCACCCTCCAAAAGAAACACAGAAAATATCATAGTTTTGCAAGCATTTTGAGAATTTCAGAATTGGGAGTTGTATTCCAGCATTCAATTTGACATTATTATAAGCCAGATTCTATGATGCTACAAATGGTATGATACTGGAAGAACTTTGACCAATCAGATCCCCCTCCTCCCGCCACGAATTTTGATGAATACTAGCTGATTGATTACCACTTTTATAATACCTGTTGATTGGTTATCAGTTTTTTAGGCATCAAAGGACTTGGTTTGACGAATAAGCTGAGAATGCATAATAAAGCCTTGTTAACAACATGGGCTTTGCTTCTTAACTAGAGAACACATAAAGTGATCTTTGCTTTATTATCCCTGCAAATTCTTAACTCTTTAATACTAGGAAAAGATGGAATCATAAGGCCTCTGATATTAAGTTAACGCCTAAATGTATATTGATCCAAGTTATGTACAGAACTATATATCCTTGCAATGCAGTGACATTTGGATTTTATCTTTTCACATCTTTTTTACTTTGACTTGTGCGTGTGTTGATACATACATGATTTTTTGGTAAAAAGGATGACCAGTTCTTGACTATCTGGGTGTAATTCAAAATTGTAAATTTCCTCATTGTTTCTAATCACACAAAATACCTGATCAAAATTAAGAAATATCAGGAGACGATACTTACACAGGGAAGACAATCTCTACTCCTATTCCAGCAATAATTCTCCGAATTCGAATTGTTGTATGAATTCCAGCATTTTGCTTTGAGATCACAATACCTTTGTAGATAGACAGCCTACGCCTATTCTCTGGGACTTCCTATAGGTTGATCACATATACAAAATTATAAGCATTTTTTTCTAAAGAAAGACGAGAAAAGAAGGGATTTAAAGAGAAAATCAGATTCCGGGTTACCAATTTAATCTCTACAACATCTCCAGTCCTAATATCTGGCGTGGGCCTTTCCTTGTCTGATTCCTCGATGGCTCTCTTATTCAAAATCTGGCTTTTCACGAACAAATGAAATATGAATTCAACAACCCAACTAAACTCTTAACTTGTACAAAAGACGATCGAATGAACAAATAAGAACAATTAAAATTATTAAAAAACTCAACCCAGTTGCAAGAAAATTACCCCCATTATCTCCCCAAGCTTGATTCGAGGTTTCCTAGGCGGTTGTGCTTCGGCTTCCGCCGCGTCATTGGGCTTGGTTTCCGATTCCGCTTCTGCGACGGGAACTTCAGAGTTGGCGGCTTCCTCCGCTTCAGCATTGTCAATAGCTTCAACAACTTCCCCCTCGGAACTAGATTCTGCCTTTACAACTAAGGGGAATTTGTTTCGTTGAGAGACAATTGGATTAACTCTCGAGCCAAATCCGTTGGAAGAAACCCTAGAAATCGTAATTGGAGTGGAGCTGAAAGAAGAGGAACGAGATATGAAGACAGTAGAGAACTGTAGCTTCTTTGAAGAACAAGGAAAAACGGTGCTTGGGGCTGAAACCGCAGCCTATAAACCCAAAACATTATTCGATAAGGAACTAGACTAATCGAGTTAAAAACAATTAAAAGTTACGAAGAGAAAATGAAGAGTGAGAGAGAAAAGAGTACATGAGGAAGTACTTTAGAGCCCATGATTCAATAAGGAAAGAAAGAAATTTAGGGCTTCTGTTAGGAGAGAAAGAGAGAGAGAGGGAGAGAGAGGGGTTCAAGTCATGGGCGAAGGAAATGGACCTTGAGGCAGCAGAAACAACTCAAGCAGGAGCCTTATCTGTTCAGACTTCAGAGTCGCTTTGAAGGAGAGGGAGCTGAGTCTGAGCCGCTGATCACCAACGTTTTATCCTATCTGGCAAAATGTGGCTACCTGCAATGCTAGAGTGCTCCGAATGCGTGCTTTGAGTTCGTGGGCTCGATCGACACTTCTGATTCGTTCTCAATCGGATGCTGCAGCACATGTTGGAGCATGAGTGTGCAGCTAATCGCAATAGCAGCGGGATAAACCCGTTGGCCGTTATGCCGTAGCACCCACCAATGAGTTCGGATCTGTTCCTCACACAGCGCGTCTCACACCGATTTTACGGCACGTTTCTATCATGCATCTAAAACATCTGAAGGTTTTCAGCCTTAAGTTATTATTCAGGGAAGATGTTCGGCGCCCATGTGTGAGGAGAAGGTCCCATTCCAAAATATCTTCCGTGAATAAAAATTTATAAATACGGAGATGTTCTGGATGCACTATTTAAGTTTGGTTAGACATTTCCATGCGTGGTAGTGGCAGACATTCTTTGGTTAAAAGGAGCCGGACTCTTGAATCCAAACATGCTGAAAATGGGGCTGTCAACGAAATTCGATAGCCACAACCCGATTTGAGATCGAGAGATGTTACTTTATCCTTTTGGATTCGAATTCTTTATTTAAATTTTATATAGGGTAAATTTCTTAAACTATCCTTATGGTTTAGTTAATTGATTAATTCTATCTTACTGTTTATATATTTTCTTAAATTATTACTATTACTTATGACAATTGACAACCTTGTTAAATGGTAACGGAAAAAAAACAGAATGTCAAATTTATCCTCAACTATTTCTCAAAATTTTAAAATAAAACCCAATTAATGAAAATTTTCAAGAACATAATAATAGATCGCTACTCTCTCTGTTTCCGTTTTTGCCTTCGTCTACATTTTTTGTATTCATCTTCGTCTCCGCCTCGATCTCCATCTTTGCCTTTGCCTCGTCTACATAATAGCAGATAGCAGACTCCCTTCTTTCCCACACTCCTCAATCGTCATCTCTGTTGTAGTGATCTTAAGAGAAACAGAAACTATCGTTGCAAATAAGAAAATTTAGATGGTCTGAAATTGGTTTGAAATGGATTTTACAGCTTTTTGCATGCAATGCAGAGGTCCTTTTAAAGCTCCAGCAACTTAGTCAACTTGAGGATGCAAGCCCGTTTGAAGTGTTTACACCCTCTTATTCAAAGACCAAATTCTTTAGGATGCAAGCCCGTTTCAATCCCTCCCGGACACTCACCCCATTTTTCGAAAGAGAAGAGGGAGGAGCGTCATCCATCGACGGCTCGATGCTTCCATCGCCAACGGCGGTCGCTGCAAATACCGAATGACGGAGGTCCGACGGAAGTCCGATGAAGGTCGGTTTGTTTGTTTAGCGTTAATGAACCCTAAATAAAGTGGAGGTCGGTGAATATTTTAGGGTATTGAGATCGTTGCAGAGGACTGAAATTGAGATCATTGCCATCATCTTCCCCACAAATCTCGTGAAGAGGAAAAATAGGAATTCTGCAAAGGAACTCATGCTTTGGATCTTGAACACGTCAGTGGAGATCCCACAATGTAAGATCAGAAAAAGGAAGAAGTAAAAATTCAACCATGGTCTCGAACTTTTCAACAATGGTGATGCCGAGGGCCGACCCTTCCGGTACAATCAGCCCCACTAGAAGAGCTCCGTGGGTGGGCATTATACCCATTGATGTTGCGCAATCCGACTACTCCTAACTGAAGGTGATCTGGCTCCCAATAGACGATGAACTCAGTGATCTGCAAAAAGTGAATCAGAGAACCCGGGGGTGCTTACCCGGCGAGGTCGCTCCGATGCTTAAGTCAATAATGGGTTGCGAGCTGATAGTAGCTTAGAAAGCAAGAGAGTTGGTGAGCAAAGATTACACGTACCTTTCACCCCCGGGGGGTGGAGCCTTTATATAGTGGAGTCCTCACGGGTTTTGCGGAGTGGTTTCGGGATCCTCATTACGATGAAGTCCGTTTCCACGTTAGCTGGGTATAACGCTGCCAGCTGGTAAGACTTATCACTTCTGCCCGAATCGGACGGGGGAGATAATGCTATCTGTTACGAGGTATGATCCCGTAAGGCATGGAATCTAGTGGCGAGATCTTTGGGGTTGCCATGCAGAGGTCGGTCAATATTACCCGAGTTAGTGCCCTTTGGATCCGTCCTGGTATGAATGCCAAAGTGCCTTGGAACCGAGGTGGTCTTGATGCGATCGTGCCCCAAGGTGAACTTGTCCCGAGGTGGTTCGGTTATCCGAGCTCGATCTGTTGTAGACTTGGTGCGTTGGAGTGAGTTGTCATCCTGTCAGTTAGGTCGTGTCCACGTGTCCCCCTATTACTAGGTCGGGCCAAATCACCCTACATCAATTGCCCCCCATTCCCCAAGCCAGGGATCCTGATCCTATGCGGGGAGTTCATGACGAGCCAAGTGGATTTGGTCTGAGGTCTGGGCAGCTAGCCAGATGAATCACGGGTCGGATTTGTTCGGCCACCCGGCTCAACCAGGAAAACCTAGGTCGCGTCTGGCCTACGCGCGGATGTCACACGATCTATAAACTCCGCGGACGTCAAAAAACGCTCTAAATCGATTTTATCCTCGAGGGTCGTGCAACCGGTTTTCCTAGGAGCCGTTGGATTGCTTCGATTTCGATCGTTAGTTCTCGGACATAGCGGCTATAAATAGGGGGTCTGTGACTCATTTTTCTTGCCACAAATTCTGTGATTGAGTTCTCCCGAGGTCGCGTCGGAGTCTTTCAGCTCGCTCTTCTCTTTGTTTTCCGAGGTCGTCCTTCTTTTCAATGAGTCTGTGTTTTCTTGTTCTTCCTTTGTTTTTTAATCATGTCTAGTTCTAGCGTAAATAGGCTTTTAGGTAGTTCTAGCGAGTTTGAGGGTGCCGTGGTGCAATCCGTGGCCCCTGCTGGGGAGGTCAGCTCGCCGCTGGGTGGCTCCCCTCTTCAGTCTTTAGAGGAAGCTTTTGCTCCTGAAGTTGAGCCATCTCGGCTCGGGGAGACCGAGGTTCAGGAAGAGGGTCCGTCCTCTAGAACGGAGGCCCTATCTTCTTCCTGGGTTCGGGATCCAGATGACTTTGGTCCTTCTACTCTAACTTCTGATAGGCTAATGTACCTAGTAGTTCTCTATCGTCTTCCCGATAGCTTGGTTTTTAGCCTTCCCTTAGGTCAATATCCTTGGGCTCATGATCACCATGAGCTCATGGTCTTTGAGGAGCAGCTCGCGTCCAGGCTGCGCTTCCCGCTTCACCCTTTTATTATAGAGGTAGTTAAGTTTTTTAACATTACCATCGACCAACTACACCCGAACTCTATTCGGAATATAATTGGTACTATCTCTTTGTTCCACACATACAACCGGCCTCTGTCCCTAGACACCTTCAGCTCGATCTGTGCGATCAAGTGAAATTCTGCCTATCTGCGTGGGGATGTCAGACAGAGTTTTTACATCTCACCTTGGCCTGGTTTCAAAATCCTGTTCTGCTGCTCGAACAAGGTTCCAGCCTGGAAGAGGAGGTATTTCATCGTCCGAAATCATGAGGGGTGGTCTTTTCCAACTCATTGGAGGGTGGCTATTAAGGATCCTGGGGTGAGCTTGGATGCAGAAACTAGGGCAGTCATCAACTCGTGGAGGGACCTCGGCCTCGAGATGAAAGATTTCTTGGCCAAGGAGAAGCTTGTGCGAGTTGGTCTGAGCCCTCCTGGTAGGTTTCCACCTTGGTTTCTTTTTACTTTAAGGTTCCTTTTAGTTCGTGGCTAACCTTTTGCTCTTGCAGTTACCATGTTGGAGGTCGATGCCGAGAACCTTCTCAAGAGCTCTCAGAGAGGAAAAAAGAGAAAGGCTTCAAAGAAGCTTTGCCGGGAGGCTGGTCCTTTAGCCCCTACCCCATCCGAAGTCCTGGCTGTGGAGCCGATCTCTGCCGAGCTCCTCTGGGAGGAGGTTCGTCCTCAACCCCCCGTAGTGGACCTGGATGACGACTAGGAGGAGGATGCTCAGCCTCATGAACTGGGGAGCACTTCTGTACCCGAGTAGGAAAGTGTCCAACCTCATGAGCCGGAGAGCGCTTCTGCGCTAGGGCCCAAGTCCCCCAAGGAAAGCATCATGACCCTTCGGCTCGGAATGCGCAAGAGCAGGGATGCCGTCTTTCCTGACGAGGTCGTGGAGTGGGCTGACATGCCTACAGCCCAGCTCGAAGGCCGAGCTGCCAGTTATTGCATGGTGGTAAGTATCTTTACATTTTGTTTCTTTGTTAATTTCAAATGTACTTACCTCGGTTTTATTTGCTAGGTGAATTCCGCCATTCATTCGTTGATGTGTCAGTCTGAGATCTGTCTGAAGCAGGCTCAGGATGCCGAGGAGAAGGCACGACAACTTCATCGCGAGCTGGACATAGCTCAGGGTGAGATACTTTGGGCCAAGAATGGAGCTCGTAGCCAGCAGGAGTTGATCTTGGCCATGACTGAGGAGAAGGAGAAGCAGTAGGAACTAATCTCTGCACTGACCGAGGAGAAAATGAAGCAATAGAAGCAGATCTCGACGTTGATCGAGGAGAAGGCAAAGCTTCAATGAGAGAACGAGAGTCTCGAAGCGATGATCCAGGAGTGGACTAAGATCTTCGAGACCGCTATCCAAGAGGCGCGAGCTGAAGAAAGAAGCCACGCTATCGAACGCTTCAAGGAATCCTCGGATTTTCACGATCTCCAGGTCGAGTATGGATTGAGCTCCTATCGTTCCAGATTCAAACTGTGTAGGTACTTAGTGCGGAAGAAGTTCCCCGACCTTGATCACAGAGTCATCACTATGTCAGGCCTTAACCCTGAGGTGGCAAAGGCGGCGAACGAAGAGCTCAGCTCATCAGAGGAGGAAAGTGATGATGAAGTCGAAGAGGTAGGCTCCTCGGGTCAAGAGGACTTGGGAGAGCACATGGAGACCGATCCGACTGGCAGTCCTCCTGAGTGATTTTTGCTTTTTTCTTCTTTCTGTGTTTTGGATGTATGCCCCGAGGCCACCGAGCTCAGGTTTCAACGAAATCTCTGTACTCATACTTTTCATTAATGAAATATAAACTTTTTTGAGCAGTCTTTGTGCAAAATACTCTAAGTGTGAGTGACTCCCGATCTGGGCGATGAATGTATAGGTTACCCAAATTGTCGAGCTACCGAGTTGGACAACAAGTAAGGATAGCCAAAGTAAAAATTTATCTAAGTGTTTGTTACCCCGATCTGTCAAGTGTTTGTTACCCCGAACTGTCTACTTGGACTATTAGTAGGGGCAACTTTACATAGTGAACGCCAAGGTGAGCGAGGTTGCAGGGTATATACCCAACCTGTCCGTGCATGGGCTACTCATTAAATGTCAGTTGTCC